GCTCCCTGCTAATGTGTCTGAGAAGGCAGCAGAGGATGGGCCCAGGGCTAGGGCCCCTGCACCCACATGGGAGACCTGAACGAAACACCTGGATCCTGGTTTTAGCCTGGCTCAGCCCTGGCTACTGCAGTCATTTGGGGAGTGAGTCAAGGGATGGATGAGCTTTCTCTCTCTCTCTCATCCCTCCACCCCCCATAACTCTGCCTTTTTGGCAAAGCTCTCTGCTAAAAAAAATAAAATAAAATAAAATAAAAAATAAAATAAAATAATTCCTGGTGCACTTCTAGCTTTGTCTTTACCTACATCAAATCAAGGCTGTCATTTATATTATTTTACTTGTTTTAAAGAAATGACGTGGACATGGAGAGAGACTGGGACTAGGGGCACAAGAGAGGATTCAATGACCTCACTGCTCTGCCTTCTACTCCGGGTGCCAAGGCTCTGGCCTGGGGAGGGCTCCCTTGGGTGCGGCCTGGGATTACGCTCCTGGACTTAGTCATGCTTCCTCTTTCCGTGGGGATCCTCGTTCCTCTCACAGGCTCAGCCAGCTGGGTGCCGGCTTTTCCCGGCCAGTGCTGATCGCCCCTGGTTTGTGTTCTCCCCCAGTTCTTCCATTCTCAGTTGCCTCCTTCCCAAGTCATGGAGCAGTCATTTTGGCTCTCAGTGCACACACGGTGGAGGTTGGGATGCTCTACCTCATGACTGCAACACTTGCTGGTGCCCAGCGCTGTGGTGTAGCAGGTAAAGCTGCAGCCTATACTGCTGGCATCACATATGGGTGCCGGTTCAAATCCCAGCTGCTCCACCTCCTATCCAGCTCTCTGCTATGGCCTGGGAAAGCAGTAAAAGGTGGCCCAAGGCCTTGGGCTCCTGCACCCATGGGGGAGCATGGCTTCAGATCGGCACAGCTCCGGCCATTGCAGCCAACTGCGGATGGAAGATCTTTCTCTCTCTACCTTTTCTTCTCTCTGTGTAACTCTTTCAAATAAATAAATAAATCTTTTTTAAAAAAATAACACTTGCCTCCCTTAGATCTTAGAACTGTTCTGTGTGGCTCCATCCTTGCCTGAGAGTTGGCTGATCCCTTGCTAACAACTATGAAGAATTGATGCTGAGAGGATTAGCAATCATAACCTCAATACCTCCCTTAGTGAGACTTAGCCTTGATAATCTACATAAGATATGTTGTGGCAAGTCAAGTTCAGCAAGTTCTCCGGAAGCTATTCATTTATTCAACTAACTTTAGTAAGCACCAGGCATTGCTCTACCATACAGGCTTGAGGGGTTCCGTTCTTGTGCAGAGCTCTCATTCTGTTCCTCATCTTCATGTTGTGTGAACTGAGGACCTCAGAAGACTGGGAGAGGGAGAATTGTACTGTGCACGAGTTTCAGGGCCATCGGGTGCCATAGAAAGTGTTCTGTGTTGAAAGGGAGAAAGGGTGCGATATTCCCAACAGACAAACAGCTTCCCTGGTCACCCGCACAGGCAGAGCAGGAGACATCTAGGTAACGTGCAATCGAGGGCAGCTGAAACCAGAACATAATTTGTCTTGTGATTTCCTGCTTAAGGAGACTAAGCTCCATCTAATGGGCAAACGAGACATCAAAGTGATTTTTAGTATTGCAAGATAAATTAATATTACAAAAGCAACATAAGCTTACCACAGAAATTGGTAATGAAAATTAAATCACTGCCAGGGTCTTCACACAGCAGCAATTATCAGCAACGTTTGACGTGCGGATTTCCAAATGCTCACTCCACACATACGCACACGCGCGTCAGATCTGGAAGATTAAAACACACTTACGTTGTACATGCTGGTTCTGAAGCCGACTTTTACACCTCATCACACATCATTGGCATCTTTCATGGAGTTGATGAAAATGACTTTAAATAACACTCTAGAATTTTTTTGTGTGGATGTGCTACAGTTTAAGTCTCTATTGTGAATAGAGGCTTCTTCCAATATGTCTCCATTACAAAACAAAACATTACAAATATTTTCACAGCTGAATTGCTGCAATTATGGTAAATTATTTTCTTGGCAAAAATTACTTATATTATATTATAATTATATTCCTTATAATTATATATATTCCTTATAATTATATATATATTCCTTATAATTCCTTATAATATATGTTACATATATTATATATCCTTATAATAATATATATAATCCTTATATTATATTATATTCCTTATATAGTATTCTCACAAAGTTCACATACAATGTGATTTTTAAATATATTGCCAAATGCCTCATACAACTTTCAGTTAATAACTTTTATTGTTACAGAAACTTCCAAAATATGTTCTAGTGCTCCCTAAAGTTGTTAAATGTTTAGTTCCTTGTTTTCACCCACTTCAAAAGCAGAGTGACAGAGAGACAGAGACACACACAGAGATAGTTACAGAAAGAGGTCTTTGATCTGTTAGTTCACTTCCCAAATGCCTGAAGCAGCCAAGGTTGAGCCAGGCCAAAGCCAGGAGTCTGTATCTTGATCTGGGCCTCCCAAAAGTGTAGAAGAGACACAAACACTGAACCACCACAGAATGCCTCCCAGGCTGCATTGCAGGGAGCCTGGCTGGAATCAGAGGCACTGGGACAGAACCAGCACTTCAGGACCGGATGCAGCATTTCAGGTAGTGGCTTCCGCTCCTGCACCACGATGTTCATCCCTGCCTGAATGTGTGTGTGTGCATCTCAGAAAAATACGCGCATACATTTACAGACATCTGGAGGGTTTATGATTTTAAGAAAATATTTTATTTAAAAATCTCCCTAAGATTTAATTTTATTTTACAAGGATACTTTCATGAAAATATATATACAATTCTTCTTTAATAACTTCTTAATGTCTCGGAGGCACTATAATTCATTCAACTATTATCTTATTTTTAAATATTCACATTCTGTGCAATTTGGGCTAATTAAGACACTGTTACAGCAAACATGCTTCTACATACAATTTTATAGACCAGTGCTTTTAATATCCCTCTGAAATTCTTGAAATGTGGCGATACTGAGTCGAATATTTATACTGGCAGCTGCAGTATATAAGAGGGCTAACTTTTTTTTTTTTTTGACAGGCAGAGTGGACAGTGAGAGAGAGAGAGACCGAGAGAAAGGTCTTCCTTTGCCATTGGTTCACCCTCCAATGGCCGCTGCGGTCAGCGTGCTGCAGCCGGCGCACCGCGCTGATCCGATGGCAGGATCCAGGTACTTATCCTGGTCTCCCATGGGGTGCAGGGCCCCAGGACTTGGGCCATCCTCCACTGCACTCCCTGGCCACAGCAGAGAGCTGGCCTGGAGGAGGGGCAACCGGGACAGAATCCGGCACCCCGACCAGGACTAGAACCCGGTGTGCCGGCGCCACAAGGCGGAGGATTAGCCTAGTGAGCCGCGGCACCGGCAAGAGGGCTAACTTTTCAAAGTTTCCTCAGTTTTAGGTGTTAACAAGCATTTGAAATTTTCCTAATCTGATATATTGATGGTGTGACTTGTAGTTTGTGTCTTCCCCTTATACCAGTGAAGTTACTAGGTTAATTGATCATTTGCATTGTTTCATCTATAAATTGCCTGTTTGAAACTACCCTATCTGATCATATACCTGAAATATCATAAAATTTTATCTTAAAATTTTTTAAAGATTTATTTTATTTATTTGAAAGACAGAGTTACAGAAAGAGGTAGAGACAGAGAGAGAGAGAGAGGTCTTCCATCCACTGGTTCACTCCCCAGATGGCTGCAACGGCTGGAGCTATGCCGATCCAAAGCCAGGAGCCAGGAGCCAGGAGCTTCTTCTGGGTCTCCCACATGGATGCAGAGGCCCAAGGACTTGGGCCATCTTCCACTGCTTTCCCAGGCCATAGCAGAGAGCTGGATCAAAAGAGGAGCAGCCAGGACTCGAGCCAGTGCCCCTATGGGATGCTGGCACTTCAAGCCAGGGCTTTAACCCGCTGTACCACAGTGCTGGCCCCAGAAAAATTTTTAGAAACAGGATGTCCCTTATGCCCAACTCCAGGGACATCTCCATCTAAGAAAAAATGCAAAATATTGTCTACATCTACATCAACCTCTCTACATCTTGCTTCCCCCTAGATCCAGCCATTATCTCTTGGCCAAAGCAAAGAACCTCTTGTTGGGAGCATCTGCTTCACAATTCTTCTTTATGAAGAAGATTTTTGAAGATTTATTTATTTTGAAAGTCAGAGTTACAGAGAGAGAGAAAGAGAGAGAGAGAGAGAGAGAGAGAGAGAGATTTTTTTCCCCTCAGAATCCTTTTGTTTAAGGTATACAAACTTCATTCATTTCATAAATTCAACTTTAGGGACATTTAAAAGTGGAGTATCATCACTTTGGAAAACTGTTTGGCAGGTTCTCAAAAAAGTTAAACATAGGGCTAACATACGATCTAGCAATTCTACTCCTGGGCACAAAGTTAAGAGAATTTGAAGCAGATGTCCACACAAAAAGTGTGCACAAATGTTGACGTAGCATTAGTTCACACTAGCCAAGAAGTGGAAATAATAAAAAGAGCCATCAGCTGCAGAATGCAGAATGTCAGTTATCCGTACAACAGAATATCAAGGGCTCTATAAGACAATCAGGCGCTGATAAGGACGAACTTAAAAATGGTCTGCTAAGAGAAGGAGCCAGTCAAAACATGTCTTCCATTATCAATTTTTATGAAATGTGCAGAACAGGCAAGTTTATAATTATATAAAGTAGACAGATTGTTTCTTAAGGCTAAGGATGGGTGACTGAGTGCAGTTGCTGGTCCGACTTGCAGTGTGTATGGGTATCTTTTGCAGATGGTGAAATGTTCTGGAGTTAGGCAATAGTGAGGTTGCACACAACTTTCTGAACATACTAAAAAACACTTGATTACACATGCTTAAAGGGTGAAATTTATGGTATATGAGTTATATTTTGATAAAAAAGTAGGATATTGATAACTTGAAATCTCTCCTGATGCTGGTCAGCTGGTCAACCTCAGGACCAGTGCAGGGTTTTATGGAAAGCTGCCTGGACCTCCTTGTTGCGCAGACAGTAGATGACAGGGTTGCACATGGGTGTGACCACTGTGTAGATGACTGACAGCACCTTGTTGAGGTCCATGGCTTCTATGCGGCTGGGGCGGGCATAGATGAAGATCGTGGCTGAGTAAAAGATGCCGACCACCAGCAAATGGGAGGCACAGGTGGAGAAAGCTTTGTGGCGGGCAGAAGCTGACGGCATGCGGAGCACGGCCCTACCAATGGCCACATAGGAGGCCATGGCCAGGAGCAGGGAACCCCAAAGGATGACAATTGCAGAAATGAAGTCCACCAGCTCTGTCAGGGACACGTGGGTGCAGGACAGGTTGAGCAGAGGGGAGACATCACAGAAGAAGTGGTTGAGAACATTGGGGCCACAGTAGGACAGGCTAGCAATGCATGCTGTTTTGATCACTGAGACCACCAGCCCACCAAGCCATGAGGACAAGGATAAGCCCAGGCAGACCTGGGGCCGCATGAGCAGTGGGTAGTGCAGAGGGCGGCAGATGGCCACGTAGCGGTCATAGGCCATGGAGGCCAGGAGGGTGCACTCTGTGCAGATGAGAGAGATGAAGAAGAACAATTGGGTCATGCAGGCTGTGAAGGGCACATGGCAGGGTCCAGTCCACAGTCCCACCAGCAGGCTGGGCATGGTCACTGACACGTAGCACATCTCCAAGCAGCTGAGGTTGCCCAGGAAGAAGTACATGGGCTTGTGGAGCTCACTGTGGCTGCAGATGAGGTAGATGATGAGCGTGTTCTCCAGGAGGGTCAGCAGGTAGAGAGTCAGGAAGACAAGGAACAGGGCATCCCTTATGCCCAGCTTGGCGGACAAACCCAGCAAGACAAATTCTTGGATTCTGGTATTGTTGGACAACTCCAGGGACATCTCCATCTAAGAAAAAATGCAAAATATTGTCTACATCTACATCGATCTCTCTACATCTTACCTCACCCTGGATTCAGCCATTAACTCTTGGCCAAAGCAAACAACCTCTTGTTGGGGGCGTCTTTTTCGTAATTCTTAATCTAGTGGCTAGCGGGTTCTTTCAAAATCATGTATCACATAGGAACACTGCTCTGATTTAAACTCTTCCTGGGGCTGACATTATTCCCAGAATAAGCAACTTCCATTCGGGACCTTCAGTCCCCAGTGTTCTGGCACCTGCCTATTGCTTCATGTTTAAGTCGCACCCTGCTCCCTCTTCTCCCATCTACTGCCGCCCCACAGCACCCTTCCTCACTCAAATGCACACAAGGTCCTGCCAACCTTCCACTATCACCGTGAACTTTCATTATGTTCTCAGAATATCTGCAAAAACACATTGAATCTGCTAAAAACTAATTAAAATTTTAAAAAATAAAAAATACTGTGGAAAGATGACCATAATATTTTTTCATCTATTTATTTCCTTTCATAGGAACCTTTTAGCAAAAGCTTCCATTCTTCTCAGTACTCTGGAAAGTGGGCATCGTTTCCTCATTGCTTAAGATGAGCTTCCAAAGACAACAATCGGAAAGAGAGGACGTTGGAGCTTTTCAGACCAGCTCTCCCCTGTCTGGTCCCGCCACCCAACACAGTGCCTTGCATGAGATTGTGTTATTTGTGAAAGGGGAATACACGACTTGGAATGAATGGGGAAAGGTCTTTCAACTTTGGTCTGTGGAGATGTGGGTGTCTGACTTACACTGAAGATGCCCACATCCCATTTTGGGGTGCTGAGCCTGAGTCTGGGCTCCACTCTCAACTCCAATTTGCTGCTAATGCACACCTTGGGAGGCAGCAAGTGATGGCTCAAGTAGTTAGGTCCCCATCTTCCACGTGGGAGACCCACACTGAGTTTCCAGCTCCTGGCTTCAGCCAGACCCAGCCTTGTGTCTCGCAGTGAATTTGGTAGTGAGCCAGCATGTGAAATATCTCCCTCTCTCTCATAAATAAAAAAAATCCAAACATTCACTTGTGGGCCAGCAGCATCAGCATTACCTGGGAGGGAGGCAGACAGAAATGCAGAATCCAGACACCACACTCCCTGCCTGCCAACATGTAAAATCAGAATCTGCATTCTTTTTTTATTATTATTATTTTTCTTTCTTTTTGACAGGCAGAGTGGATAGTGAGAGAGAGAGACAGAGAGAAAGGTCTTCCTTTGCCATTGGTTCACCCTCCAATGGCCGCCGCGGCTGGCGTGCTGCGGCTGGCGCACCGTGCTGATCCGATGGCAGGAGCCAGGTGCTTTTCCTGGTCTCCCATGGGGTGCAGGGCCCAAGCACTTGGGCCATCCTCCACTGCACTCCCTGGCCACAGCAGAGAGCTGGCCTGGAAGATGAGCAACTGGGACAGAATCCGGCGCCCCGACCGGGACTAGAATCCAGTGTGCCGGTGCCGCTAGGCGGAGGATTAGCCTAGTGAGCCACAGGGCCGGCCAGAATCTGCATTCTAACAAGGCCCCCAGGTGACATCTATTTACATGAGAGTTTGAGAGACTCCAGTACAGAAGAGAGGGAAAACTCCTAGGCTGTGGCCAGTACCACACCCTAGCCACACAGAGACTCATGAGGCCAGGAGCTTCCTGGTGTGGCAGACGCAAGCCTGAGCACGTAGGACTTAACTAATGCTTGCAGTGGGCATAGTGAGTATCCACCATTTGCCAGGTGTTTTACCCAATTCTCTCATTTGATCCTTAAAATGATTTTGAAAGAAAAGTTATTTTCCCATTTTATGCATTTTACATTTTGGTTGCTTGAATTTAAAAGCATTTTAGCTTATATATGTCAAAATGGCAAGCATTCAATTGGTATCAAGGGACATATAGGGAAGGATAATTTCCCTTCTATTTCTATTCTGCTTTGCAGAAGAAACTCTTCTTACTAATGTCTTGCATATGTTCCCTGAGGTATTCTCTCCTTAATCAAAATTATATGTGTGAATTTTGTAAAACTTGTGTGAAAATGAAGAGAAATTACATACAGTACATACACATGTATGAATAATATATTTACATGGGTGTGCTCTTTTCCCATTTGCACAAAAGTTTTGCACACTGTATACCTTGTTCTGCGTCTTGCACTATTTGACATAATATATGCATATACTGGATACTGTTACATTTAACAAGTATTTTCTGCATTGTTCTTTGAATATCTGCAGTTAGTGGTTGCATCAATCTTATTTTCTAGTCATTCATTGTTATCCACAATGTCATGCAAATAGTCTTGTGCATATCTTGTGCATTTGAATACACATTCATGGAAACCAGCCCAAGAGGTGGAGTTCTTATCATCATTTATGCTCACTTAAACTTTTGAGAGATAGAGCCAGATTTTCCATCCCCAAGAAGTTGTCTGAGTCACATCACTACTCAGAATATAACACAGTGCCTCTTTCTCCACATCTCTATAATTAATGTATACTACCTACTTTCTGATCTTTGCAAACTTGATCAGTAACAGTAACATCTGTTGGTGGTTTCCAATGTGTATTTGCTCAGTATTTGTGTTAAAATTAACTTGAAATTTCTTGTCCTTTTCACTTTATTCTTGGGTTGAGTTTTCTTAATAATGTGTTACCATAACTGTGTTAAATAGAAAGAACTGAGTCTCAAGGGGCTGAGTCATTTGCCCGGGCTTTTGTGATATGAAAATGAAAACGCTGATACAGTCACTGAAGACAGGGGCTGCCTGGGTGCCTTCTACTTCCAGGGAGTGGGGGAGGGTCCCTCCACATTCCCAGAGGGACCCCCTGGGATGTTTGTGATTGGAGTCAAGAGTGTGTGGGAGGGAATGGAAATAATGAGAGGTTTTTTTCATAGGATTTCAGACTGTTGGTCTTGGAAGCATCTTCCCGACTGACAATCTGTTCCAACTCCCTAAAAGGGAACAAGTGTAGAAAATGAGGCTCAAGCCAAAACAACAACAACAACAAAAAAAAACAAAAAACAAAAACAAACAAACAAATGAAACAGGAAACCTATACCTGCTGAGAGTCTCTAAAGCCTTTTTCCACCATTGCTGTCTGAGTTTTTCTCTTTCATCTTTCATATGAGCTTTGGGTTCTAACCCCCATGGAATTTCTGTCTCCAGATGTTCTACCTTCAACTCTAGCAAGCCAAGCCCCTCAGCATTCCTGATCACCCATTTCTCCATGTGGACAATAGGGATTAGTATAACCTCACTCACAGAGCTTCTGTAAGGATCCCAAGCAGAGAGGGGATGTGTCCCGCGGTTTACAAACAGAGATTTACATCCTGGAGTCATATTGACCTGGTTACCCACTATCCTGAGCCTCAATTCTCTTGGTTCTAAATCTAACTTCACAGAAGGTTAAATGAGGCAGTGAGAGTAACACGCTTAACGTTCAAAACTGAAGTTTGCCCCTGCAGACCGATGGAGGTGGAGCTGGAAGAAATGCCTTCACTGGGCCCAGAGGACCCTCAAGCTGAGGAAGCTGTCGTTGGCCCGGAGTGACCCCATGACCAGGCGTGTTCAGCACTGGGTGGTGGAGCTCCCTCTGGCTCTAAACAAAAGCATCCCCACTGCCCTCTTCCTTTTGTCTTCCTTCCTCTCACCAGCTTCACTTCCTCCCTGCTCCTTCTTCTGTTTGTAATTCCTTCCTTGTCCCTTCTCCAGACCGGACCCTACAGGAGGTCTCTCACGACTCAAGCCTCACAACTGGCTATGCTAGATGCCAAGGGGGGGGGGGTGTATTTTCCTGTCTTCCCTAAGAACAAATAACTTAGTTTTAAGAAACCACTTTGGAATCCTTTAGTCCAGAATCAGAGGACTCAAGCACTGAAAATGCTGATCAAGTATGCAGTGTGCCACCAACCGTGACAGGCACAGCAGGTGCTGTGGAGATGGACAGGACCTGGTCTGCTCAGGGAGTTTTCTGCCTGCCACTCTCTCATTGATCGTCTTGGATGTTAGCCAACCTCTCAACAGCTTCGGAAAACTATAGTGAAGGCATTATCTTCATCTCAGATTAAATAGCGCCTTCACTGTTAAATTAGTCAGACTGGGCTCAGGATATCAGATCCTCTAATTCATGGCTGTGAGATTTTGAATAAGCCACACATCCTCATAGAGTCTCTGGCATCTTATACGAAATTTGGGGATTATTTTAGTACTTATGCCTTGCACCAATTTTTGGCATAAGATAAGCAACCAATATTATTCATAATGATTAAATTTTGTCCTCCAAATAGATGGATTATCTTTATAATATGTATACTAGTTCATTAATCTAGATTGCAAAGCATTTTGATGTAGGGGTTATTGCTTACATATGGCAAGAAGAGAAATTGAAGCTTGAAGAGGTGAGGAAATTTGATCAAGATTACATAGTTCGCAAGTGGAAAATACAGCAATCAAACCTCAATCTACCCAATTCTGAAGCAAGTGGTCATTTCTCTCAGCTCTGCTGTCTCTGAACACTTGGCACAATTTGAATCCATACAGTGAAGCTATCTTTTTGCCTGACCCCTAAATGGGACTTCAGTGCTGGCATATTAACCAAATCTGTCCTACGCGGAGGGAGTCACACCAACAACAAGCAAGGCAGGGTATAGATTTCAGGGGCTGGTAGTTACTTCCAGAAAGAACTGCTTGGCAAATCTCAGGCAGGATCTCACATGTGTACTGATATTGAAGGATTAGTAGAATTCTGAAAGTTTAAAAATGGGTAGAGTAATGGACAATCCAGGAAGAAGGAACTGCATCAGCAAAATCACAGATGTGTGGCTGCATTTTGTCCAAAGCCATTCAACTAGTTGGGAATGCCAGGCCAGGCTTCCATCTCGCAACCCAGAAACCCCTTTCCAGCCATTCCTGAGAAAAATGTCGGTGCTACAGGAAGAATTAGGGCTTTCCAATCACAAAGATCTCGACTCAAACTCCAAA